TGTATTGTTGGTAGTGATCATGTTAGGTTTGAGTTTTTTGTTTTAGTAAATGATGAGTTTGTTTTTGCCAATAGGTGATATGTATCTCTATTAGATTTGTTATCAATTTTTTTCTTCTCCTTTTGTGGTTATGTAATTGATTTCTATAGAATAGTTTAATGGTGTTTTAATGTTTTTACTATTTTTATTAGTGTCACTTTATATTTTTTTATAAAATTAGATTTTTTGTATCTATTATATGGTTAGGGAAATTATTGTTTTTTATTTTTAAAGTTTATTATAGAATGTTGCATGGTGCATGCAGAATATATTGAACGTGATCTTTGAAGATAATTTAGTTCTTAAATTCATATGTGAATAGCAGAAACCCATTTTTAGATATACAAATCTGTATGAATAATAGTTTTAGAAACACATTTTAAAGTTATAGCACACTGAATGAGTGGGGAGTGTTAGCAAAGTGAGGAAAACTACTAAAGGCTACAACAGAGATACAAAGTTGTGCAGAGCTATGATCATCTATATTCTGAAGTGATATGACACATAGAAGAAGTCATCATAAATTTTTTCATGACTATTACAGTCTGCATTTTCAGAATCTGTCAAATCAAGAAGTTTGTTTGTGTTAAATTTTTTTTTCAATGTACTAAGTTACTTTATGGAACAATTTATTTTGACATAATGCTTTATACATACATACATATATATATATATATATATATATATATATAATATATATATATATATATATATATATATATATATATATATATATATATACACTGCATGCCAAATTATTATCGAGATAACTTTTTTTCTAATATTTCAAATCAATTCACACAAAATTTTCACACAATGTTGGCAACACTGACCTGTGCAATCACTGAAATCTTTGTACTGATCTGCGCAATGTAAACAAACTGGCGCCATATTTGTTATCAGCATGGTGATTTGAGCATGCCAAATTATTAGAAAGGTTTAGTAAAATTCCCAGAATTGAGCAAACAAAACATTTATTAATGTTGCACGTGAATGTTTATGATCAAAAGAAGCTAATAAATAAGATAATCAAACAAATAATAACAGATACAAACAAAGGCACAATTTTAAACAAATTAATAGGGAATGTGCTTTGAAATTACTTGAAGAAATCGACGATCCAGAGAATTTTTTAATTGTAGGATGTCATCTGCTGCAATGCCGCGAGATATGTCAAGAATTGCTTCCCACAACTCAGCGTTGCTCCTGAATTGTCATCCGTTGGCGTACAGTCTACACTTCATGATGCTCCAAAGGTTTTCGATTGGGTTCAAATCCGGAGAATTTGCTGGCCACTTCATTTTTCGAAGTCCATCAAAGCCTAACTATTTCAAATATTCAGTAGTCTTGTGAGCAGCATGTGAGGGAGCATTATCTTGCATAAAAACAATAGCCCTTCTGAAGGCAACTCTTTGCCTTTTCATCCACGGTTCAAGATGCTCCTTCATAAACGCTATGTATGCATCAGCAGTCATTTTGACATCATCTGGTACTCTCCATGGGCCCACTAATGTTTTTCCAATAATACCACCCCAGATCATTATGCCTCCACCGCTTTGTTGGCATCTCAAACGCTGATGGCATATTCTGTCCGTTCATTAAGTTGCTCACCATCTATCTGTCCCAAAGTGAACAAAACTTTAGACAAGAAGTCAATATTCATATTGTCCTCGGCTCATTTCAATCGATTTTTTGAATGTGATTGATCTCTCGTCAATGGAGGCTTCGATACAGGTTTGACTGTTGTTGCTATTTCCCTCAGATACCAACACCGAAACCTTTTTAGACAGTAGGATCCCCAATGCGACTGAAAAGCTCTTGACTGGTGAGTCCAGGGTTCTTCGTGGCCTCTCATTTAAGTCGTGACATGAGACGATCGTGAAATAACCCTTTATGGCTTGCCTTTATCTGCCCTTTTTTAATTTCTGTAGGGTTGGCGGTGAACTTTTTCACTGTTTGATGACAGCTCCCTATCATTTTAGAAATTTCTAGGTAGATTTACCTTTTGAGAGTTCTGAGGTGATAGTTTTCTTTTCAGCATCACTTAAACTGCTTTTACAGCCCATCTTTTCACTAAAATCTTATACTTTTCTAATAATTTGGCATGCTCAAATCACCGTGCTGATAACAAATATCACGCCAGTTTGTTTACATTGCGCAGATCAGTACGAAAATTTCAGTGATTGCCAACATTGTGTGAAAATTTTTTGTGTGAATTGATTCGATGGTTTTTGAAATATTAGAAAAAAGTTATCTTGATAATAATTTGGCACACAGTGTGTGTGTATATATATATATATATATATATATATATATATATATATATATATATAATGATTTTTTTTTTTTTTTTTTTTGTGGAAAATGGTTATTATAAAGACCTGGGTTTTGCTAAGTTATTGATTAGAGAAACAGACAGTTGATGTCTTCCTCAAGTTTCTGGAGTTTTGATCATATTGAAAATACTAATTGATTTTCAAACCTAATTTTCTGTGTGGGCAGCATGCAAGTTAAACGCATGCTTAAACATTTCACTGATGAAATGCCAAAAACTGGACAAAGTAAAAGGTGTGAAGATTTTTATTTTTATGAGGAAACACTTTACATAATAGTAATATTGGGTATTTTTTTCTTTTCTTTGCATATTTAATGCACAACTTGTGTTAGCTCTTTAACATTACCATTTTAAATTAGGTTAATTGAAAATGATCAGTAACTGTTGATCAGTAAGTTTTCTTTTATATAATATTTAAAATTATAGTAATTGGTAACCCACAAGTATTTGGTGGCCAAAAAGGTTAATTTGGTTCATTAAGTAATTTTTTTCTTTCATGAATTTTACTGAATATTACATTTGTTTTGTTCTACTTCATAATTTCAGCTTTCCAGAACTTTCTGTCATTCACACTGAAAAATTGCTTTGCATGTCTTTTGCAGTTCTCCAGGAAATTAAAATTCTTTTCATTGAGAAAATGAACTAAGAACTAGAATAAGTGGTCATCTGAAAGTGCCATGTTTGGTGAAAAATTCCTAAATTTAATGAAATTTGTTTGATCACCAACAAACTCTGTGGTCAGGTGTTGTTCTGATGGAATGTTATGCTCTTTATTTTAACTAATTCTGGATGCTTATTTTTGTTACTTGCTTCTTTTTAGTTGAATTAAAAGTAGTGTTTGTTTGAAGCAGTTGGTTCTCTGGAAGAAGGTTATAGTGCAAGATTTCATTCCAGTCTCACCATATATACAGAATTATTTTCTTTGGATGAAGTTTGGCTTTTGATATGTTTAGTAGTTGTTTATTTCACTTGTCCCATAAGCTGTTGAATTCCATATACATCAGTTTTTTTTCAAAAACAGAACAGGCCTTTTACATTTATATAGTGAATTGTACAATTTTGTTTTTGTTTTCACTTAATTTTATAAGGAAGCTAAACATCAAAGCAAATGACAGATAGACGCAAATGATTTTCATCCTGTGATTCAGATATTTTCAGTATGTTGGCTATCTCTCAAATTGTATAATGTTGATTATTCAAAAGTAATATTTTGATTTGATCCCTTTCAACAACAGCTAGTTTAACTTGCCATGGAACATCATTCAGTGAGAAATCTGAAAGTTTGCAAACCACTTATGACATGTTTGATCATTTGTAGTACCTTCTTTGTAAATTGTTCAGTACTCTATTTTTTTTTTCTTTCATTTGAGTAACATTTTTCATTCCTTTCTTAAAATCAAAAAGTACAAATGCTAAAAAAACATTACTTTTTTCAATGTTAGAATGTTAAAATTGCTATGTTTATTAAATAAGCCAATTTGGAATTTTTTTTCTAAAAACATTCATGGTGATATTTCTTTCAATACAATCAAAAGCAATTTTTTAAAATAAAGTTAGTTAAAACTAAATGCTCCTAATCCAATTTGACAATAAATGTTAAACCTTTAGGTATTATACTGGCTATATGAAAACAATAGACAGAATAATGAATAAATGAAGGTATTTATTTATTTAAAGAAAAAAAAAAATTTTTTTTTCATTTTTTATGAAACAAGTTATATATTTAACAATCTTATAGTCAAACTGCTTGATAAGATCTGGTTTTGTGCAGGTAGGGTAATAGAGGCTTGGAATGTGAAATCACTGAGCTGTTTGAATTCCAGTTGATACTGTTACATTCACTTTCACATAAATACCCTTGGGGAAATGTATGAATCCATATCTTTTCTCAGCAGCTATAGGTTAAATAGCAGTGCAGACTGGCTGCTCTGTTTGGCAATCAGTATAGGAGGAGGATAACTTTGAATCCCAAGCCATAGCTTTACACATATTTGAACTATAACTAAGGTCTGCTCAACATAGCTGCAGTAAAAACCACAGATTGACTTTGTGGGTGTTAAAGAAACACAAATAGGCCTGAGTAAATGGGCATGTTTGGAAATAATTTGCAATGTGCTTTCAAGTTGAAACAACACTGATGATTGAATGCTACATGCATTATAAAGAAATGACCAGCCATGATCCATTCTTCTGTACACAAAATAGTTTAAATTTATATTTGTTAAATATATTTAATACTAACCAGATATAAATAATGAATAGTAATTTTCCTTATCTCTTTTGAGCTATGTGTGTATTAAAAAAAAAAAAAAAATCTAAATATTACTGAAACTTATATGGGAGACTTAAAAGTTTTAAATCCTTATCATCTTTTTCTTTCTTTAAATTTCTTTACAGCTTGTCAACCTTTTGTAAATTATTTGAAACCCCCAAAGATGTTTTTGGGAGATAATAATGATTTTCAGATGCAGGTTTTACTATTTAACCTATAGCTGAGGGGAGAGGAGGTGGATTCATACCTTTCCCAAGGGTATCTGTGAATATAACAAACCCAGGTGGAATTTGAACTTGGCTCTCTGATTTCTCATTCTGAGCTGTTATCTGTTACATCATCTGCACATACAAGCTTACAGCACCTGGTATTTCCAAGCAGTCATCCATCTAGGTGACCAGTCTCGACATTGCTTAACTTCAGTGATCGGACAGGAACTGGTGTTTCAATGTGACGTGGTCGTAAGCCTTTTTTATTTTCATTTTCTTTCTAAGAATTATTTTAATTACTGATTTTGATTTTGTAGAAGTAAAATGTATTGTGCAAATTTACTTAAATTTGCTTTATAAACAAGTAAATCTTTTTAGAATTTGTGATAAAACCATTTATATTATGTTGTGGCATTTAATTTTACTTACTTCAACAAATTTAACATAAGACAGGTAGAGCTTGAAAGTATTGGGAATAAAAAATTTCTCCTGTTGAGTTTTCTTCCTTTTGCTCCATTACCACAGTTGGATACTGTAGAATGGATTACTTGCTAAAATCAGCAAGTTGGGAATCATTGACTTCTAAAAATACTCAAGATGAACTTCAAGATGGCAGAGAACTCTGTTGGTGGCTCATGGGTTAATAGACATAACTATTTATTTTTAACTTATAAAGCACAATAAGCTAAACCCAAAAGTAAGATTATGTTCCTGTCCTGTTCTGTGGTTATCTTGCAAATAGCATTTAACTTTCTTTTACCCTTTTGTATTAATTCAAATTTTATAGAATCATGGTCTGTTCAATCAGGTTGCTTAACCATTGTTTTATAATTAGTTACCCAGGTGTAGTTTTTAGTTATTTGCATGCATTTCATAAGAAAACTGTTTTGTTTTGCCAAAATACTCAATGAAATTAATTAGCCATTTCCTTATATGGAAACATTTCACATTCATTGACCGAACAGCCAGTGTTCTTGTCAGTTGAAATTTTAAAAATCTTTCTATTAAACCAATTTTTCAGGAAAATAGGTTTGTCAAGTCCACTGTTATTGCTCAATGAACGCAGAATCTTTCCTTATGAGGAAATGGCTAATATTGACATTACCATTACTCCCTAACCCTTTGTTGAAGCATTGTGCAATGTCATCATCTTCATTATGTCATTATTTTTTCTTTTGAGTTACATGTACTATCTATTATAGTTGGTGCTACTGTTGAAAGTCCCCAAGTAATGTGTGGTGGCCTTGTTTTTATCCTTAGCTATCAAATAGGATTCAACATTTTCTGATTATACTGCTCAGGATAATTGGGATTGTGTTTATTTTTCAAATACACAAGGGTTTACTTAGGGGAATCATAGTATACTGGCTCTGCTAAATTTTATCATTTTGATTTCTATTGCTATTATTATTATTATTGCCATTTGATAAAATGTTGAACTTAGAATTTTACCTTAATTCATAAAAATTTGAAAAATAGTTAGGAAAAACTTCCCTTTGGTATTTACTAAGTTTGGATTAATCTAACACAAATCCACAAGTGTTTGACACTTGGTGAAGATCAAATCCATTGCACAGTAGTTATACTCTGTTAGACTCATATTCAAAACTTTCTTTGATATTTTTGTTACAAATTTATCAGTTTTTTTGCACATAATAATATTGTTTTGGTTTTTCATTGTATTGAAACTTATAGATCTATGCTCACTTTAAATGATGATAATGAAATGCTTTATAAACTACTGAAGAAAACAAACAAACAAATATTCTTATAACACATACGGAGGAATTTGAGTTTACTTCAGTTGGAACAAGTTTACTAAATTTAAAGACTATACACTTTGCACAGGTAAATGACATTTACACTGCTGTCTCTCCAGCAATAAATCTCATAGTGCTGTTATTGTCCTGGTGACAAAGTTGTTTGAAATGCTTCTAGTGTTACTGGTGTCAGTAGCTAAAAACTAATGTTATTACAGGTGCTTTATTGCCTGAGTGTGGGAAAACATTTTTCTTGTATTATTTTATCATTTTGGTCATTTTGCCTATTGTTTTTTCTTCTGCAATAGTTTTCAAAATTCTGTGGTTCTGATTTAAAGATTACCAAAACGTTACTTTTAACTTTTATTATCAGAAATTTTATTTTTTTTAACAAAAACATACTGTTTTTATATATATATATATATATATATATATATATATAAAAAATATCGAATGCAGATCGGGGTCTGACAGGATGATAAAATAAAGAACATATAGGAAATGTATATCAATTTAACATATTTCATTTTTATTAAAGCTGCATCAGAGATTTAGAGAAAGGTTTAATAAAAGTGAAACATGCAAGATTGATATGTTTCCTATTTGTTCTTTATTTTGTCATATATATCTTTCATTAAAGATGACAGGCAAGGTACTGTGATCAAGCTTTTCATTCAATTTTTCTTGTGTTTGAACAAATGCTTTCTTTTCTGCACATACACTGTAGAAACTGTCCAAATGTTCTGTAATTCCAGGAACCTTTGGCCATACTTTTACCCATTATCAAGGATGATTTTATTTTTACTTTTTAATTTGATGTATGAGTTGTGTGTATGTGTCCAGAAAAGACAACACTACTTTGAACACAAGAAAAATGAAATAAAAAAGTACCTTGTCTGTCGTTTTTAATGAAACATCTATAAAAGAATGATTGCTGCCTAAATACACTATATATATATATATATATATATATATATATATATATATATATATATATATTTTATATAGTATAGACAAACCCTGATACTGCTTAAATTGGATACAGACCCCCATTTTTCCTTCTGTTTTTAAATTTTTGAATATTTCCCACAGATTTCATTTGTTTTGAGCAAAATATTACAAGATCATAATTGTCATGTTATTGATAATGCAAAACATGTTATAAAGTGTGAAAAATTCTTTCAAAAAGCAACTTTTTGTTGATATTTTAGGGAATGTATATTCTATTTCCTGAGTGTGTTCATTAAAATAAAAACTTTTCACTTAGAACACTATCACTTTCCTATCATTGTGCTATATTGGAGAATGGGGTTCTGTTTAAGGAAAGTAAGCTGCTAGCAGTTTTGATTGTATTATGTTTGTAACTTGTAAAACTAGTTTTACTCACTGGAGCATTCATCTCATGACAGAAATAACTAGTTGAAATATTATGCGAAAGTGATCGCCATTGTTTTCTTTCTCTTCCTAAGCCTAGAAAATTGAAGACTAATTATTCTGACACCTTGGGTAAAACAGTTTTTGAATTGAGTTTCATTATTCTGTCAGTATTGATATTATAACAAAATCTAGAGGATTCTCTCTTGAGATCTGATTGGAAATGCTGCTCCTTAATCTCAGATATTTACCAATTTGACAAGTGTTCTCTAAACTGTTTAAAGTATTGTTATTCCATGGATTGAGTTGATGAGTATTTTTTTTTTAACCCAACATTTCAATTCTTTAGAATTCCTCAGGTGTATACAATGATGTTTGTATTATTAAAAGTAATGAAATGTCCCATATGCTTGGTGATAGGTGGATGCAATATCATTTGAAATATTGTATTCAAATCATAAACAAAAAGGAAGAAATTAGTTTGTAACCTTAATTGTGTACATTACTATTATGGTTGGAGTTTTATGTCATCCTTTCATGCTGAAATTAGGGAAAAAAAATTCCCATACTGTTGCTTTATGGTCTTAAATTACTAATGAATAATATTAGGCTCAATCATTTGATTTTTAGTTTCATTTTAGAAAGAAGACATTCTGGTTATAATTATGATTTTGTTTTTGGCTGACTAACTTTAATAATGTTTCAACCCATTAAATTTAGGAGTTGTACGATGATAATTTTGTTGAGATCACTCTAATGTTGCAAAAGAATGGAATATGAGGAGTCTAGGAAATGCTGAGCAATGGATAATTTTACCTATCATTTAATCTCTCGCTCACATTTCATCCCAAGCAAGGTGGTAAGACTACTAAAACATTAAAGGATTATTGAGTGTGTAAGAAATTGAAAAAATTATAGAGAGGATACTAAAAAGAAGAGGATTCAGGACAGAAGATGACAATTAGCATTGCATTTGAATTTTTAAAAATTGTCATTGACAAGAAAGCAAAAAGCCAAAAGAGTTTTACTGGTGCAAGGGAAGAAACTATTAGAATAGAACTTGCATTTGCATCTAGTAATTTCAACAGTGAAATTATAAGCCCTAGCTGCCTATCTATCTACAATTGTGCTTAAATTCATGAAGCTGAGGTACCAAAGAGGAAAGGAATTATCATGATAAGGCACAGGGACACTGTTACAGCAGTGCAAAAATCACTAGAGACAAAATGTCATGTCAAGACCAATATCATTGCAAATTCTTTGGATTCTATCAATAATCTCCAGATATATAGCAGAAGAATCAGATCTAGCAACAATATTCAATACATGGATGAATGGTAGCATTGTAATGGTGCAATAAATATTCTGGTGAGAAAAATTTCTAGTACAACACACTTTCTTAGTTGCAGATTTAGAAATTGATTCAATATAATTATTTCAATTCATATCCAGAGAAAATGTTAGACCAAGAAGGTGCAATGAGCAACTTTCCTGAGGTTTAACATCTGTCATACTGATGCAAGGCAGAAAAGGTTGATGATTGAATGAGAGTAGTTTAGTTTAGGAGATTTTAAAGTTAACAAGATATTTCTTGCTCCAGCTAATAACTGATTGATGGTCATTTTTGAGATCAGCTATCAGTTTGACTTCATTAAATCTGTCAGACTTACAATTATAACAGAAGTAAATAGTTTTGTCATCAGCATAAATACCGAGTCCAGAACTGATGACCGTGTGAAGGTCATTGATAAAAATCAGGTATAAAGTAGGTTTGAGGATAGAGCTCTAAGGTACACTCACATAAGTTTTGCATATACTATAGCTGTTCCTAAGTTTTAAGTGATTATCAATGAGTTAAAAAAAAAGTCATGAAATTAATGCTTGGTAAATTGTGCTTGAGATGTTATACAATTTGTTAATCATAATAACAAATAATTCTGAATCTTTGCAGAAAGTTTACATATCTTTTTGTATTTTCCTTCCACTAAAGTTTGTAACGATATTGTTCTATTATTCACAACTAGAAATATCCAAAAGTGAGTATATTTAAAAGAAACTTAGTAAATATGCTTCAGTTATGTTCATAAAATGTCATTCAATAAAGTTCTTTTTGATCTTGTT